CAACACTTAGCCTTTTTATTATTAGCCGTAAGAAGAGACTTTCTGTCTTAATTTTACATTTCACGAGTAGAAAAATAATGACTATTTTGAAAAGTATTTTTTTTATTATTTCTAATCAATATTATTTTTTGATGTTTTATACACATATATATTTGATGTTCTAGTTTCTATAAAAATGACAATGGTAACTACTGAAAGGAATAAATAAACTCCTAAGACTCCTGTCCTAAAATGCACATTAAAAAAATTTGGCAGTTAATGGGTTAATTCCTGACCACTGACAATCTCTTTCTTCCTGATTTCCAATGTATTCCTATAGTACAATCATTAGAAATTGGTACGGGGGGGGGGTTAATTGCCTAGTCACTGGTAAAGGGGTCATAATTTTTCTGGTAGATGGGGAAGATTGAGCAGAAAATGAAGAGCCTGCTGCCCACACTGGTACAGATTGCTTTCATTGTTTAACATTTAAGGACTCTTTTCTTATCTGTTTTAGTTTTAGGATTTTGTTGTATGGCAGGTCATATTTCTGTCTAAGCAGATGTAATTTTTTGGCATAGCTAACCAGGGAACTGTTAGTGTCTTTACCCTTGAGGTCCCATAGCTTAGCATGTCCTTCAAGAAACTTCATGACTAGCCATTCTCCTAGACTCTTTTTTGCCCCATTAGTGGCAGTCAAAGTGTTAGGAAATATGGGCTTCAGAAGGGACCCAACTGGAGCCTTTTGGCCACAAAACCCAATTGACGGTATGCTCACTACAGGCACCATGGAATTAGAAATCTCAACTTGAAAGTTATTTCAATTATGTTGAGATGGTTAGCTCTGCCAAAAAATTACATCTGCTTAGACAGAACTCCAGAGGCCTTCTTCTCTGTGCAAGAAAGAGTGAGGTGATCGTTTATGCCACACTTCAAACATATTAGCTTTCTACTGGTAATGATAATAGGATATATCGATCACTTAATGTCCAAGCTATTGAGAATGGAGGTGAAGGCTTCACAATATAACAAACCCCCATTCCCCTTACCTACAATTAGGCCATACTGCACCAAATTTACAACTAGATGCTCTCCTCACACATTTGATAGGGGCCTCATATACTGCTACTGGTTGGTCACCTGCCATAATACTTGATATGGATTATCAAGTCTTTTGTGATTAGGTCTTGGCTCATCATTTCAACACAGTCCTTGGGCTTACATAGCAGTATATCAACATGAAGTAACCTGTGAATTTAATTATCTGCTGGGGCTTTACCCCAAGGAAATCAGTGATTTTCTCACCACGTCTTTTGAAGAGCAACAAATTTCACATGAACACTTGTTCACCACAAAGACTGACATTGTTTTTCAACTTCAACATGCTCAGCTTGTTGTTCACCATCTGTAATCAGATGAATATTTTGTTTAGCTCACTCAATTAACTCTACTGCATTGATGATGCAATTCAGTGGGAACTCCAGTTAGAGGTTGATTCCACAGCTGCTACACTGGTCTTGTCTTTCTTATATTTATCACCGTATTTAGTTCTTGTACATTATTTCTCTTTTTGGATTTCCATATTTTCTTCAAGACAGGAGGTAAAAGTAGTCTTATTGGAAAACATTTTTCTTTGTGATCTCATAATATTGTCTGTTTTCTCATGTTTTTTCTTTTAAGATTTGAAAAATGTCTTCTTTGTGTCAAATTCTGTTCTTTCAGAAACTGCTTTTTTCCTGCTTTCTTTTTGATTTTTTTTTGTTAGATGTTTTCTTTTGGAGGAGTTGCATATTTTAAAAAAATGTTTATCTGGTGGGTTTTCCTTTGAGGCAGAACTGAAAAGGTCTTTCTTTACTGACTGACATTTGTTGGGCATATTGATTTATTTCTTACTCATTTAAAAATGTTCTTATTTTGGCTAAACACAAAAAATTTTCCTTTTTTTAAAAATTAATAAAGAAAGGCCAAAAGAAATTAAAACTTTAAGTTGCAAAAATAAAATAAGCTTCTTCAACAAAAAAAGAAACGAAACTAGTTCTACAAAACAACCAAAGTAAAAGCATGAAAACAAAATTAACAATGCAAATCAAAATACAGAATACAGGGAAAAAAAAAACTGGTTACACCAGAAAAGGAAATTAGTACAACTTAATTTGAAGAAAAATATAGATCAACATGAACTAACAAAATGAAAAAAAGGAAAGAATTTAACAAAAGTTTAATGTGACTTTAAAAAAAAATTACACCAGAAAAAAAAAAATATATAAAGAAAGTTTCTAAAACAAAAAGTTTAAACTAAATCAAACTTTTGTCAAAAAATTAAAACAGTAGAAAGCTGAAAAGAAAGATAAAGAAAAAAAATAATGTAAACAGACCTTCTGAAAAACAATTAATGGTTCATTCTAAACATGAAAAGAAAAAGAATTAACTAAATAAAAAAGCTTGGAAAGTTAAATAAACTAAAAAGAAAAAATTAACAGAATAATGATGAAATAATAGTCTAGTGTAACTTTTAGTTACACTTGAAAATAAAATTCAGTTTACTGCTGAGGGGAGAAAATAAAAATTTAGCTTACTGTTGAGGGGAGAAAATAAAAATTCAGTTTACTACTGAGGGGAGAAAATAAAAATTCAGTTTACTGCTGAGGGGAGAAAATAAAAATTTAGCTTACTGCTGAGGGGAGAAAATAAAAATTCAGTTTACTACTGAGGGGATGAAGAAAATTAAAAAACTAAAATGGAAAATTTGAAAATTCATAATAAATAAAAAGTCATTTTTGTTGAAAGTTCTCTAAGTATACCCCCCACCGATCCCCAAAATGTCAGTAAATTCAATTCACATCAGGAGAGCAACAAAAAAAAAACCGTCTAATAAGCACCCTAGTTAGAATAGGGCTGAATGGAAGCCTTTAACAAAGAGGAAAGGTCATGAGAATATTTGCCATGAATATTTTTATAGAAAATGTACAAGGAAACTAAAATGTGTTAGAAAGTAACTGAACCTGAAATGCCAGGTCATGACTGATAACATTGCAGATTCTTCTTTGGAATTTGTCAAAAACATTGATATATTTATAGCAGGAGCAGCAGACCAGATATGGCAACAATATTCAATGCAGGAATGAATGATAGACATGTAAGACGAAACTTTCTGAACAGCAGACACAGTATAATTGTTTCATTTTATGTCAGTGGAAGTTGTGGGACTGAGGAGGTCCAGTTAGTTGCTCTCCTGGGGGTTGGCATCAGCCATACTGATGGAGGGCAAAAATGATTCTGTAAGATAACTAAGACAGTAGTTTCATTTTGGAGGCATTAAAAATTAACAAGCTATTTCTTGCCCCAGTTAACAACAGATTGAAGGCCAGTTTTAAGCTTATCTTCCGGTTTTACTTTATGGTACATGTTAGACTTATTATTAGACTTGTTATTAAGAAAGGAGTAAATAGTAGTTAGCGACATAGATACCAAGTGAAGAACTGATGATGTCAGGAAGGTCATTTTTGAAGATAAGAAAAAAGTAGGCCCAAGGATAGAGCTCTTGGAGACACCCACATTAACTTGAAAGGATCTAGAAAAGTGGACATTCAACATGACTTTTACTACACATATTATTAATAAAGAACGGATCAAATCAAACATTTTTCCAGAGACACCATAATCCTTCAGCTTCTGAAGAAGACAAGCATGCCCTATTCTATCACTAATGCTTGCATTCATGACCACTGACAATACCTTTCTTCCTCATTTTCAATGCATTACTGTAATAAAATCATTAGCAATGCATTTACATTATACATAGCCCTATTCTATCAGTAATGCTTTCCTTCATTCCTGACCACTGACAATCCCTTCTGCATTTTCAATGCATTCCTCTAGTAAAATCATTAGCAATGCATTTCCATTAAACATATAATAGCTCTATTCTATCAGTAATGCTTGCCTTCATTCCTGACCACTGACAATCCCTTTCTTCTGCATTTTCAATGCATTCCTATAGTAAAATCATTAGCAATGCATTTTCATTAAACATATAATAGCCCTATTCTATCAGTAATGCTTGCCTTCATTCCTGACCACTGACAATCTCTTTCCTCCTGATTTTCAATGTTTTGCTATAGTAAAATCATTAAAAATGTATTTACATTATACATATAATAGCCCTATTCTATCAGCAAAGTTTGCATTCATTCCTGACCACTGACAATTCCTTTTATTCCTGATTTTCAATGGATTCCTATAGTAAAATCATTAGTTATTTATTTACATTCTACATATCATAGAAAAAATAAATAGGATATTTCAAACCATTTTTTTAAAAATCTGAGAATACAGAAATTATTAATAGATAAGAAAAATGCCCAAATTTGGTCTCCAGGAATATTATTGTATAGAGATTAACAGTATCCTGATTGCTGTCCAAATTTCAGATGTGGATCGGCTGAAAAGTTCATACACTTTTCGACCAACCCTCATAGATGAAACATTGTCATAGGTGATTTTTCATTTTCTTTTATTGAAACCTTCAATTGTTTTACCAATTCTATGAACACTTAGCAAGCATCAGGAATTAGAAATAAATAAGAAATGAGATTTGAAATTTGATTCTTTGGAAACCCATTGAACCAGAAGAGTATTGTAATGTTTAAGTTCTTCATTTGTTTTTTGTAGAACATAAAATGATTTGAGTATTACCATTAAGAAAAGGAAAATGAAAAAGCTCTAGTCCATCCCTACCCCCACAAAATAAAATAAGTCTATTCTATACTTATGCAATGAATATTTAGCTTTTACTTTTAAGGAATACATCCCAGAAAAGCTGTACAAAAATAAAGATGGTAATCCAAATTTGTATGTGCCCTTGTTGGTCACAGGTTCTATATTTGTTTTATTATTGGTATATTCAATGGTCAATGTGTAATACATGTCTTCCAGTTAGTAAGTCTGGTCATTGATGTAAGCTGTCATTTTTTTTAAACACCTGTTTTAGGACAAAGCTTTGATTTCTGCTTAAACAACAAATGGCTAATGTAAAAACCAAAAAAGTTTTCTTTCTCTTTTTTTCTTTTCCCAGAAATACGGCACTGACTGTGATCCTAATTCGTGCTGGTTTGGGACTTGATCCTGAGGCGCTGAAAAACTTGTCCTTTGCGGTTGTGCGTTTAGCTTTTTCACCTTGTCTTGTTGAAGCAATTTCGTATGCTATTTTCTCTCACATATTACTTGACCTTCCAGTAATTTGGGGACTCATACTTGGGTATGTATTTACATTTATTTCACAATAAAGGGGGGCACCTAAGCATGGTGTAATGGTTAGCAAGCTTGTCTCACTAAAACAATTATGACTGAATAATGAGTTTGATCCTCACTGGGTGACCCATACTTTCGGCCTTGTGCCATATCTAAGCTATGCTTAGAGAATCAGTATTTCACAATAAAGGAAAGATGTGCCCATCTTTCTCCACATTGAAATCCTGTCTTCACTCAGATTCGAAGTCATAATCATGTCAATCATTTTTTTTTATTCTCTTTTTCTTTCTTGAGAACAACATATTTGGTAATACAGGTCAAAGGTCACAGAAAATACACAATCATTTTACATGTAGATCATCTTTTATAAATTCATATGAAGCTAAATTTTGCCTCTGTGTCCCCCCCCACCTTACACTAATAGAACAAAACGGTCCAGCCCCTACTGCAAACATATAGCAATTTACTAAGTATAGCTTAGATGTAGCACAAGGCTTCAAGTATGGGGCACCTAGTGAAAATTGAACCCACTACTCTGTCGTAATTGAACTAGCAAGAAAAGTATTTATTAACCTGACCTCTCCACTAAGGGAGGATGTGACACCAGTTCATTTTTTTTTATGTGGGGTGCTTATGAGCCAAGGACAAAAATCCCTATGACCACTGTCATACTGACATCAATATTACACTGACTCTTAGTGCAATGAGGAAGGCACCACTATAGGGGTTGGTATCTCCAGGAATGGCTGCCTTCCCCATTTCAAATGAGAAGAGAACTGAGACTATGAAAAGGCCAAGAAACAATTAATATAGTGATTTTCTATGCATAGCTTAGATGTGGCATAAGGCCGAAAGCAGGGAGCGCTCAGTAAGGATTAAACTCACTACTCAGTGGTAATTGATCTATCAAGACTCCCGACTATAGCAGGGTGTGACACAAGATTGTCTTTAAGGCAGGGAGCCCGTACAAATGAATATGCATACAAACAAGGACAAAAATTTCCCAGTCCTTGTGGCCACTATCACTCTGGCATTGATATTACACTGACTTAACCTTACTTGCAATGAGGAAGGTGCTGCCACAGAGTTGAAATCTCCAGGACCAAATGCCTTCTCCCATCAAAAATAAGGAGAGAACACGTACTATGCTTTAATACCAGCCAAAATGCTAAAAAGTGATGAATATAGCTATTTTATAAAGCATAGCTTAAATGTAGCACAAGGCCAAATGTAGGGAGCACCCGGTGAGGATCAAACACACGACTCAGTTGTAATTGATCTATCAAAATAAGTGTGCTGATCATTGCAATATATTATAAGTTTTATAAAACTAAAAATAGTGTTTACAACATAAGCGGGATTATTTAATTTACATAACAAATTTTAAAAGCATATGTCAATAATATTATATTAAAAGCATATGTCAATAATATTATATTAAAAGCATATGTCAATAATACTATATTAAAAGCATATGTCAATAATACTATATTAAAAGCATATGTCAATAATATTATATTAAAAGCATATGTCAATAATATTATATTAAAAGCATATGTCAATAATAATATGATAATATTTCATGGCTGTTATTTATTTTTAGCTTAAAGTTTTTAAATTACCTTATATAAGAAATGTTTCTGTAGATATATCTTTTTTCAAAATTTATCATAAAAAGAATTTATATCTGTTTTGTCAAAACTTAGTCCTAAGTTAGAAAACCTATAGCGTTCATAATAATAAGCATTGTTGTCATCTGATATTTCACACAAATTAATCAAACAGAGCAGAACAAAACATTTATCTAAATAAGTCAAAATAATCTTTTTATTTAGATTTTCTTAAAACTGTACCAAATTATTTTACGACATAAATAAGAATATTTGACTTGCTTAATAATTTTTTAAAGTATATTTAAATAGACATTTCATTCAAATTTTTAAAAAAAATTCTAAATATAAGCAATATTTCTGTTAAAGTTTTTTAATTCATCCTCTTAGTATAAAAAAATTATATCTGTTTTATCAAAATTTAGTCATAAAAAAACCTACAGCATTCATAATGATAAGCATTGTTGTCATCTGGCATTTCATGCTACTACAAATTAGTTGATTGGAGCTGAAAAGAATTATGGAATTAACAAGTGAAAAAATGTTAAGTTTCGCTTAATTAATTAGGCATGATGGAGTAATGAATATTGACTCAAATTGAGGAATCAAAGGGCTAAGTTCAAATTCCAGTCAAGGTCAAAAGCAAACTCACTACTCAGTTGATACTCAACTGATCTACCAAGACAAGCATGTTCAGCATTGCAATGTCCTATCAGTTTTATAAAACTAAAAATTGTGTTTACAACATAAGCAGGATTATTTAATTTGCATATCATTTTTTAAAAACATATGTAAATAAATATTTCATGTGTTTTTTTAATTTAAATTTTAAAAATTGCCATATATAAGCAATGTTTCTATGGAAATTTTTTTTTTTTAATTCATCCTATTTGTATAAAAAGAATTTATATCTGCTTTGTTAAAATTTAGTCATAAGTTAGAAAAACTACAGCATTCATAATAATAAGTAATGTTGTCATCTGGCATTTCATATTACTAAAAATTATGAAAAAAAAATGTTAAGTTTGCTTAATTAATTAGGCATGATGGTGTAATAAATATCAGCTCAGATTGAGTAATTGGAGAGTTAATTTTGAATTCCAATCAAGTTCATTACATTCACTTATGTACTAATACCCTTGGGAAAGGTATGAATCCATCTCTTCTCTCCCCCAGTCTATTTATCCATAGCTGGGGGAGCTATGGATAAATAGACTGGCTCCTTTAGCCTTGGGTGGTGACTAGTCTAGGAGAGAGAAAACTTTGAATTAAATTCAGATCATCCTGGAGAGAGTTGGGATCCATCAGGCTGTCTTACTCAAAACACAGCATTGTTGCTACAGCTGCCGTACATATGGGGCCTAATGGATTATGGGATTCATGACTATGATTAATATTAATAAAACATTAGGAAATTATTCAAACCATTATATCAGTGTCAGCTCTTTTGAGCTAGGCCCAGAATCAGAAATTCAAGTGGACTTAGTATAATAACAAAAGAAACTTTAGAAAATAGATGTGTTGCTGAAAATGATGCTTATGCAGAAATTTTAGATGAATAAAAAAATGCTATAACTTATTTTTCTATCTATCTTGATATGTTTCTATCTATCAATGCATTTTCTTATATATCTATATATATATCTATCTGTCTTTTCATATCTATCTCAGTCTCTTCATACCTATCTATTTATCTATCTCAGTCTCTTCATTTCTATCTATCTCAGTCTCTTTGTATCAATCTCAGTCTTTTCATATCTATTTATCTATCTCTCTATCTACTTCAGTCTCTTCATATCTACCTACTTGAGTCTCTTTGTATCCATTGATCTATCCATCACAGTCTACTTGTATCTATCTCTCTATCTATCTATCTATCTCAGTCTCTTCATATATCTATCTATATATATATATATATATATATATATATATATATATATATATATATATATATGTAAATAAAAAGAAAGAACAGTAAGATATATAATCCGGTGTTCTTATAGATATTTTTATTTTTACAAAATAGTGCTTAATGTAAATTTACAGAGCATTAATATTATAAACTAACTGATTTAAAATATGTTTTTTTTTGCTACATAGTTCTAACCATGTTTCAAAAATGGAAGCTAAAAGCTTCGAATTTAATTTTGTATACCTTCACATCTCTCACAGTCTTGTCATTTCTATCTATGTATCTATCTCAACACTGAGACGGTCTCTAGCCTTCTCCTTATCAACATCTCATGTGCAGTCTTGGTAGTGACCCTCGCTTTATTGGTTAAAATGTTTGTGGATCAAAGATGAACACTCAGTTGCTTCATATCTATCTATCTATCTATCCACTTTGTATATATCTATTTATCTAAATCTCTTCATATCTATCTACCTCAGTTTTTTTGTTCTATCTTATCTCTCTATCTTTTACAGTCTATTTGTATCTATATATCTCTGTCTCTTCAAATATATCTATCTACATCTGTCTCTTTGTATCTATCTGTCACAGCCTCTTCATATCAATCTGTCTTCATTTCTATTTATCTCAGTCTCCTCATAGCTATCAATCTATCTCAATCTCTTTGTATCAATATATCTATCTCATTCTCTTATCTATTTATCTATCTATCTATGTCTCCTTCTATCTATCTATCTATCTATCTATCTCAGTATCTTCACACCTATCTATCTGTCCTTCTCAGTCTCTTTGTATCTATCTATTTCAGTCTCTTATCTATTTATCTCTATTTCTTCATATCTATCTCTCTGTCTATGTCTCTTTGTATCTATCTATATCAGTTTCTTCATACCTATCTCAGTTTCTTCACATCTAACTCATTCTCTTCATATCTATTTATCTCTGTCTCTTCGTATCTATTAATCTCAGTCTCTTTGTATCCATTTATCTATCAGTCTCTTCCTATCTATCTATCTATCTATCTATCTATCTATCTATCTATCTCAGTCTCTTCCTATCTTCCCTCTCTATGTAACTTTCTTTCTATCTATCTATCTATCTATCTATCTATCTATCTCTGTCTTTTTGTTTCTAAATATCTATCTCAGTCTCTTTGTATCTATCTCAGTCTCATCATTTCCATCTATGTATCTATCCCACTCTCTTATTTTCTAACTCTGAGAAAGTCTCCAGATTTCTCTCTATCAACATCTCACTTGCAGTCTTGGTACTGACCCTCACCTTACCAGTTAGAATATTAGTGAGTCAATGATAAACACACAAGGATTCAGTATTTAATTGGAGAATTTTCGCTTCTCACTGCATGGCTAAATTTACTCCCTTTATCATAATGTCCAGCTCTGCAAGGTTGATATGCTATGTGTCCAATTTAGCTAGCATGTGTCTTCAGTGGCTGACCTGTTTACCTCAAGTGATACTCCAGCCACCAAATAGCTTTGTGTCAAACCCCTTGACATTTAAACACCATTCACCTCTGGAAGAGTTATTCTACATCTGTCTACAGTCTCTATTAACATCTTCCTGAATAGGACATCATCACATCCTTTTATCACCACACCTGCCCAATTCCAGTTGCTATACACAACCATTTGAATGCTGGAAGATGTCCCACAAACTTGGCAAAGAGGGGAAAATACTGTTCTTCTAGTAATTACTTCAGGGATGTCTGCGCGTGCATTCCTCTATTTCTACAGGCAAGATGCCATTCTCTTCACACTGTCAAACCAAGCCCTTTAGCACCATCTATCAAGAGTTCTGGGTTTTTACTTATGAGATCCAAGTGTAATAGATGTTCTGTGACATATGAGGCTGGTAACATATCCTCATTGATATAGATGTCATTAATGTATGCTGAAGTTGCTTTTTTTGATTGTCTTTCTCATGATGGATTTCATTAGTTTGGTCAGGTAGTATCACTTTCCATAAAATGACCAGAGTTACTTGCTAATTTGCACCTGTAAATAGGCTGCCCTAGCATCTAACGGAGAGGCATTTGACCCTTTGCAATGCCACTTCCTCAATTTACCTCTGCATCAATTGTAAATATGTTGATGCGCTGGTTAACCTCCCAGTTGTCCAGCATGGGACAAAGTTTTGACTTATTCTGCTTTACTATAGCCATTAATCCAATTAGTCCTTTTGGTGGTCCAAATTCCTGCTCATCATAGGGTATTAGCCAGCCATTTTTATTCCATTTCTGAAGTTTTTTCTCATACACACTCTTGACTTTTGGTGGTCCAAATTCCTGCTCAATGGGGTATTAGCCTGCCATTTTATTCCATTTCTGAAGTTCTTTCTCATACACACTGTGACTTTTGGTGGTCCAAGTTCCCGCTCATCATAGGGTATTAGCCAGCCATTTTATTCCATTTCTGAAGTTCACAATATATATACTCTTGACTTTTGGTGGTCCAAGTTCCCGCTCATCATAGGGTATTAGCCAGGCATTTTTATTCCATTTCTGAAGTTTTTTTTCATACACACTCTTGACTTTTGGTGGTCCAAATTCCCGCTCATCATAGGGTATTAGCCTGCCATTTTCATTCCATTTCTGAAGTTCTTTCTCATACACACTCTTGACTTTTGGTGGTCCAAGTTCCCGCTCATCATAGGGTATTAGCCAGCCATTTTTATTCCATTTCTGAAGTTCTTTCTCATACACACTCTTGACTTTTGGTGGTCCAAATTCCCGCTCATCATAGGGTATTAGCCAGCCATTTTTATTCCATTTCTGAAGTTCTTTCTCATACACACTCTTGACTTTTGGTGATCCAAATTCCCGCTCATCATAGGGTATTAGCCAGCCATTTTTATTCCATTTCTGAAGTTCTTTCTCATACACACTCTTGACTTTTGGTGATCCAAATTCCGCTCATCATAGGGTATTAGCCAGCCATTTTTATTCCATTTCTGAAGTTCTTTCTCATACACACTCTTGACTTTTGGTGATCCAAATTCCCGCTCATCATAGGGTATTAGCCAGCCATTTTTATTCCATTTCTGAAGTTCTTTCTCATACACACTCATGAACTTTACAGATATAGGGTTCTCCATTCTTCAGTTTTGATGTTTGGTAGGCATATTAATTTCTGCCTGCTGCCACAACGCTATCCATTCATTTCATTTCTGATCAAATTCTGCATGGAAGTCAGGTTCATCAATGCATAATTTTGAGCACATGGGTAAATATTTTCCAGGGAATCATACCCATCCCCTTATGTCAAAATGCACATCTCACCTATTGCCTTGATTGTGTCAGTGCCAGCTAATAAATCAGACCCCAAAGGTCTTCCATGTACCTTCAAAAGTGTTATCAAAATGTTCTCTCCATCGCCTACTCCGAGGTCAATAGCTCAAACTCCACATACATGCGCTCCACCACCAAGTGTTACCATGTCTACATTTTTCTTTTTCCACATTGGGTAGAGTTTTGGATAACGCTGAATTGTAGCACCGTAGTTTTGTCTCTTAACCCTTTTCGCCCAGGCAGTCTTGCAACATATGGTCCATTTCTAGATCTGGAAGCAGCACACAATATTTCTACAAGGTCTTTGCTTTATTTCACTTTTGAGTGAGGAAGCAAAACTTTGCCATGTCAGTGGGTTTATTGCATGCATGATACCTTATTTCAGTGCTTTTTTTTCTCAGTTTGCTCATATCAAGCACTAGTCAGGCAGCCACTACCATCAGTCCTACTCCCAAAGGGTCATCTTTTTCTATTGCTCTGACACAGGTTTTGAACAATTTGCTCAGTGTAATCTGGTGACCCAGCTACAAAGGTGTATATAAGGCCTCATTCACTCATTAACTCATGTCACTAAATATAACAGAGAGCTTCTGTAACTCTTCTAAGTAGACATCTACTCCCCAGGGTGCAGGCAAAGCATTATGTAATGTTCCTGCACCAGAAATGTGACAAAGACTGTGTACAATGCATCCTTTATGCAAGAGAAATCACCCTTTTTCTCTTTGTTCAGTGACATAATGCAGCAAATGAATACCAACTCTACCTTTTCAGTCCATTTGACAATAGACTGATTGGGATTGATACTGTTGAACTTAGGCATGAGTTTGGGATCAAATTTATCTGCCATAGGGCAAATGTGCAAATAGCTTGGTTTAAAAGTTTGAGCAAGCCATTATAAACCTTGATAGACTATAAGCCTTGATCTGTCACAGTTGAACCTTTGATCGCAACAAAGCACCCAACTGTGAATATGGACACAAAATTTGAATTAATGTGAATCAGACTGTGAATGCATTTCCTACTCTATATTCCGTGCTAATAGGAATATATACTTGAAAAACACAGTGGATAAAATGAGTAAAGGTTTATTGTAAAAACCAGTACAATAAGAATAAAGGTAACAGTTATGCACAAGGTCATTCCAGTAGTGAGTGCTACTATTGGAAGGTAGGCAGTTCTCGCGTAAGTCTGAGTCGTACTCAACAGATTCCAGCTAGTATATTTAGCTACCCCCCTACAAGAGCTGCATGTGGCCAGTTTAACGTGGGTTCTCCGAGCCCGTAGGCTCAGCCAAAAATATTCCCTTTTAAACATAAACAGGTTCAGGGTCAGTCTACCTCCCTGAAAAAGACTCTGTCCTTCCGCGGAGCCTCATCCAGGTTCCTCTCTGCCCGAAGACAGAAAGTTTGACTGTATAGCAGTAACAGATCACAGCTAGGCTCTGTAGTCTGTTGACTTACAGATATTTATAGGTGGTTACTACCTATAGTGTAGTCACTCATGGGGGTGACAGGTTATTCCATTACATCAGTTTACAAGTGAACTGAGGAAGTCTTGTCTTGTGCTCGGCTTAAGTATAAAAAAAGTCATTTACGTGAATGATAGGCGGTAGTTACCAAATATTTGTTGACTATTTCCACCACCTACCACAATAATAGCTAATCATGGCTATCTTTTGTTACTATAGGAACATGGCAGGAAAAGAAAAATGGGTAAACTTGGACTTTCATGCCCACAATAAACAGAGTATCAAATGATTGCTCTTTCCCTTGACACCGCTATTATTTTAACTACCTTCACTCCTTGGCAATGTTTATTGTTTTAAGAAGCAATGGTTAGAATTGTGATAAAACCTAAATATATGATGAAAGTGAATTTATACGTTTTTGTTCTTGAGAATTTACAACAAAAATATTAAACCCTATTTATTAGATTGTTTATTTACAAGAATAATTTTATATTTACAATATTCTAATAACTAATACAATTAAAACTAATGCAATGCAATATTTATCATTTACCAATTTATAAAGAAACAAATATGAAAACAATTTTTTATTCATGAATTTATAAACATTTACTAATTTATTAAAATATGTGAACCATCTCTAAAGAAATCCTTACTATTTACCATTTTATGAAGTTTTAATCAATTGGCAATTAGACAATGTTTTGCTAACCATTCCAATAAAAATATATTAAATAGTGTTTATTATTTTTGTTGTCAATTTTCAAGAACAAACAAAATGTATACATTCATATGTTTAGATTTCATTAAAATTCTAATCATTGCTTTTTAAAACAATAAACATTGCCAAAAAGTGAATAGCAGCAGTGTCATGGGGAAAACATGCTTTTGACACTTCAGTTTTTTTGTGGGCATCAAGGGTCAAGTTTGCCATAAAATGTTTAATATGGCACTCACTGTGAGAGAAAAAATTGGTTTGTAAATTTCTTTAATTCATTAATTAGTAAGATTATTCAAAACATAAATTACATGTCCCTTAATTTTTATGGTTAAGCAGAGTTAGTGTTAGATTTCTCCATCAACCAGCCCCTCAGAATGCTTAGAAAGAGTTTATTAACAATAAACACATTTTAATCAACATTTGCCAGTTAGGCAAAGCCCAACATAACATACTTTTTAAACTAAAGTTGGTCAATAAAATCCCTTCCTACTGACCTAAAAAAAAAAAAATGCTTTCACTTTTAGAAAATTCAAAACTGTGGGAAATAAATACGATAATGATGAATTAAAAGCCATTGTCAAAATGCAAGGTAAATAACACAATTGTCCAATGAACAGAATTAATAAAGGTTTGCAATAAAAAGAAAAAAGAGCAAAAATGAAATCTGGCAAGCTAGGAAACAATATACATAAAACAAATCAACAGGTAAGAAGGCAAAA